TCAATTGGTTGGTTCGCATGACATCCGAAATGGAGACCAATATTGTGTCCGTCGAGCGAATCAATGAATACTGTGATAACCCAACAGAAGCCGAGTGGGAGAGCGATGCCAACAATAAGCCGCCCAATGAGTGGCCCAATAATGGATTGATTGAGTTCGACAACTACTCGGTTCGATACCGTCCCGGACTTGATCTCGTTTTACGCGATATCAACACTAAAATCGAGCCCTTGGAAAAGGTTTGCGATTAATTCGTTTCATTTCCAATACAAACTTAAAACAGACTTGAATTAATACAGAATTTATTTTAAAATGAATATAAATAGATAGGAATTGTCGGCCGAACCGGTGCTGGAAAGTCGTCGTTAACTCTGGGTTTGTTTCGATTATTAGAGGCGGCGAACGGAAAGATTATTATCGACGGCATTGATATCAGTAAATTAGGACTTCACGACCTCCGGTCCAGACTTACTATTATACCACAGGATCCGGTATTTTACAAAATATTGCACTGCTTTTAAAGGTTTACTATAATTGAAATGTATTTTTTAGATTTTATTTTCGGGAACCATTCGAACCAATTTGGATCCATTTAAGATGTAAGAGAAATCTGTTTGATTTTCAATATGAAATAACTTATGGATGTGTTGTTTAGTTATACTGACGACCAAATATGGACCGCTTTAGAGCACTCGCATCTCAAACATCATATTAAAGGTCTGGACGCAGAGCTCGAACACAAAGTGACTGAAGGCGGAGAGAATCTATCGCTCGGACAAAGACAACTCATATGTTTAGGTATTTATTATGAAACGCTATTATGAATTACATATGAAATTCATATTATGAATGTAAATGACTTATTGGTTGTGTTGACTAAAGCGCGAGCATTGCTGCGAAAGAGTCGTATCCTAGTTCTGGACGAAGCGACGGCTGCTGTGGATCTCGAGACCGATTCCTTAATACAGACGACGATTCGCAAGGAGTTTAAGGACTGCACTATTCTGACGATCGCTCACAGACTCAACACAATCATGGATTCCAATCGTGTGTTAGTTCTCGAGAAGGGTTTAGTCGTATCTATTTTGTTTTTAATTGTTTTCAATTGCGAAATGTGTTCACCAATTAGTTCTCATTAACTATTATTGAATTTTAGTAATAATTATAATTTAACACTATTTGTTAAAATATTATGACATTTACAACAAAATATATGAACTTTTATCAATTATATAAAATATAAGACAATTAATTTTTAAATGAATAAGTATTCAAATTGTGATACAATTTCATAAAAGTATTAAAATTATATAAAAACCCATTGTTTTAATTTTGTTAACCAAACCATCATTTGATTGTTTTATGGAATTTTCATTTAAGAATATTCTTTTACAACTCGTGGCAAAGACACCAAACAAGTCATCTTCAATGCAATCATTTATGATTGATATTACGTTAGTATTTGGTTTTATAAATGATTAAAAGTAATGATAATTATAGACAGCAAACAAATTCGTTTTTGGATTCATTTGCACAGAAAAAAGTATTTTTTTTGTGTGAAATGAAAATAAAATTGAATTTATTTTCTTAACTCATAAATTGCACATAATGCATTCAACAGTAACTTAATTTCAAATATTAAAGTTGAGTTTAAAGTAATGAATCGAACATTACTTGTATATAAAGTTATGTTTTTCTGTGACTAATGCATTGAAAACGCATTTGTTTGCTGTCTATAATAATAATATAATTAAACAATTAGTTCGCCTAAACACTACTCATTGACCTGATGTCCAAATTCTTCTCATACTTTCCAATTCATTCATAAATTTAAAAAAATCGTATTTTTGTGTGCAATTAATATCTTATTTGATTTAATGGATGATTGAAATTGCATGTCAGTCATGAGCTGTCATCGGTGTAAGTGCTTATAAGTGAGTAATCGCTTTCAATAGTCATTAAATTTTAAGGTTTTTTAAATTTAAATTTTCAATTTAAAAGTCAATTTTGGAGATAGTTTTAAATCAATAGTATTTATAATAAATTGCAGCTGTAATTAATATAGCAAGCAATGAAAATGAGTACCATGATTAAATGGTAATACGGTAAGTTATTTTAAATAACTTATTAAGTTACTTAGTATTTAGGCAAATATTTTAGACAATAATTTGAATTTTATTAAATTTGTGGTATTTATCATTTTAAACATTAAAATAAAAAAATATTTTATTTAGAATAAAATTAGACATGTTAATTACATTATAATTAGTTATATATTTTTTAATAAATATTATTTGCTGTATTAGTTTAGTGTTAAAATTTAGTATTTGTCGATGAATTGAAATAAAAGTAAATGCATTTCTCTTCACAATTGACTAGAGAAATAAAGTTCTGGTATTGTTTCGCTCGTATTTTGTCATATTTTCCTATATTTTTAAATTTCCATAAAATGAATTCAAATCCTTGACAAAAAGGAGTAAAGGATTAATAAAACTACTGGCAGTGGAGCTATAGTTATGTTAAATTATAAATTTTGTTATATTGTCAACAATTTGTATATTATATTTGATTATTTTGATGATTGATTAGCGTTTGTATGAAATAATTTGCAACTAATATAGAAACAGTGATATGAGAAGATATAATGCAATACAAGTTTAATACTGTATTGTATTAATACTTAAGTATTTATACTTTGGTTATGTGTTCATTCAAATCGATGTCATTTACAATATATTTGCGTTTAGTGTTTGTTTCATTAAATCAAATCATTTACTTAATCACATAAAATACGAGTTTAAAATTCATATAAATAAAAATTGATATTAATTATAAATCTTGTAAATCCTGATTAAACTACAATTAAACTAAAGAATATAAACGCAATCATTATATTAATGGGTTTGTGAATTGAAATGCCATTGAATTGGTTTTGTGTAAACGCTTGTCGTTTTGCTTCATCTGAGTTCACTTGACGTCCGGTTCTTTGATTCTCAAAATTAGATTCCATTGATTCTAAGGAAACAATTCATTGTTATTATAATTAAATGATAAGCAATGACAACATGAATAAGTTGTACCTCTTTTAACATTAATATATTGCCAGTTATCGGGAGTGTAATCCACTTTCAGAATTGTAGACATTTGTAATTCAAGCACTTTGTTTGGATCGGAAGGAATGGGTGCAGTGGTTGACCGTTTCCTTCTGCCAAAACCCCACTGTCCGTTACCACAGGGCACCTGAATAGTACATATTCAGAGATATTACATCAAAATAAGTCTTTGCTATAGACAACTATTTATATTTTAGGCCTATTCTTTGTAATTGTTAAGCTGCAACTTCATATTATAGAAATAATATGTTACGTATAAACGTTTTGTAATAAATTTTACTAATATTAATATTTAGTTAAAAATATTACACAATACAAAACATCGTAAAACTTTTAAATTATTTTTTATGTATTTTAGACAATAAATTATATCTAATGATAATATTTTATGATTTTAAGGAATGGTTAAGACTTACGCCTTTGCATTCATTGATGCATACGTTAACAGTGCCGACAAACTTAACATAATTAGATTCAGGAAATTTAAATGCCCTAAACTTCGCAGACAGAGAGTCTCCGCCGTCCAGAGTCTCAAAGTTGCCAAATATATAGGGATCTATTGAACACCTGTTTTGTTATAAAATATTCATTA